GAGGAGAGGAGAGGAGAGGAGAGGAGAGGAGAGGAGAGGAGAGGAGAGGAGAGGAGAGGAGAGGAGAGGAGAGGAGAGGAGAGGAGAGAGGCAGAGAGAGTGAGAAGCCAAACAGCCCCTTTTATAGCAAGCCAGACCTGCGTAGCCATTGCCAGGTAATTGTTGAGTGGAGCCTAGAAGAAATGCCAACAGTTATAACAACACTTGTACATTGTGTGTAACTGTAGACATATTTGCAAACACTTCTATGCAAAGCATTTGCCTACATTACAATCAACATCTGGTTGCCCAGTGAGTCAATAGGAAACATCAAGCAGGCGGAGGATATGTTCTATACCCTTAGGAAATCAATGTAAAAAAAAAAGTTATGGTAATTATGGAGTTATATTTAAGGGTCACTGCAAGCACAAGCAAGGGAGCATCTAAATTACTAGTCCTCTTTATAAGTACTCCTTTAATGCAATAAACCATCCCTCATTCAGGGACTAACAGTGGTACTTCATTTCTAACATACAGAAAAGCACACACAGCCAAGTTTCCTCTGAGCATTGGTGACTAAGAAGCCCAGATGAAAGTTTTCAGTGTATATATTTATCATGTATGTGTACATTTTTTTTTGAACCTAAGGAAAAACTCTGCAGTCGGGTCCTTTATTTCTTTTATACACTAGGCCATGAATTCGTATGGAATGGGCTCCAGCAGCTCGGGCTCTTTCCCATTAGTCCTCACAAAGTGTGCTTCTCTGGGTGGTGCAGGCTGGCGCTTCAGCTGAACCCAGGTGCCCTTCTCTTTGGCTTCCTTTTTCTTCTGATCATTCTCCTTCACCCGCTTCAGAAAGCTGTCTCTGCTCTCCGAGTGTTTAATGTGCTCAATCCGCACATTGATCCTCTTGGCCAGAATCTTGCCCTTAACTTGCTTGTTTACAATGATGCCCACGGCATGCTGGGTGACACTGTAGACTCTTCCGGTTTTGCCGTGGTAACACTTATGGGGCATTCCTTTTTGAACAGTACCCATTCCCTTGATGTCTACAGTATCACCCTTCTTATAGATTTGCATGTATGTGGCCAAAGGAACAACTTCATGTTTCCTAAAAGGCCTAGAGAACATATACCGAGTGCCTCTCCTCTTTCCCTTTGTGTTCGTCATTTTGGCGAGTTAACTGGAAGATGGCTGCCGAGGCCGAAAGCATATGTGTACGTTTTAAAAGCCATCATCATACTCAGTGCTATTTTTATTTCTACCTAAATTCTCCCTTTGAATTAATTATTTCACTCTATTTTATCTCATTGCTTGGTATATCTGCTTTATACTGTCTCAAATCCTTTGAATAATGAGGGAATGATATAATGTTTTTAAGCTTTTAAAACTTTTTAAATATTACATTGTGTTTGTGTGTGTTTGTGTTCTCACATTGCCATGGTGATTGGGTGGAGGTCAGAGAACAGCTGTGGGAGTCATTTCTCTCCTTCCATCATGTGGGTCCTGAGGCTCACACTCAAGTCATCAGGCGTGGTGGCAAGCACCTTTACCAGCTGAGCCATCTCACTGGCCCAAGAAAGGTATAATTTAATAAACAGACTAGCAGTGTAGTTGTTAGGGGTTATTGGGGACTGTAAATTGAAACTGAGATATATATGGCTGAAGGTATCTTAATCAGCTGGGAAAGACAAAAGGTTCTCACTATAAGGAATGGTGTGTGCTAAGGCTCACCAAAAGAGGAAACCACAAGCACTTCCATGATTTTCATAGTGTAAGTGTGGAAAGGCCTCATAGAAGATGACATTCAGACACTTGGCCATCACATCTTGCAAAGGAGTAAAGGTTCTATACTAAAAAAATCAGAACCTTGAATGTGAACATTATATTCAGATATGCTTCTGAAAGACTATTCTTACAGCAACGTGAAAATGCTTCAGAACTGAATGGAGCTAAGACCTAGAGCTCCAGGCTGTGAGTGGTGAACAGCTATGGTGGTGGCTGCATGCACAGCAGAGAATATGAAAGGACTGAAAGGTGGTTGGGAGTTGGAGAGTTAGGAAGAAAGCTCGATTTAAGCCTTAGCCACTGGCTAAGAAAGATGAGGCAGGAGGACACTCTGGAAGTTCTGTACAGCAGCAGTGAGTACGGCATTCTGCTTAAAAGTTGTGTTGAATTTTTTGATACTACATTTATCCATTAATCTATTTTTTTATTAGGTTGAATATATTGAGTGTATAGGTAGCTTTTGGGAAAACTTTAAGGTCCCTGACATTGAAATGGCTCAAAACATAGTAAACTTGGTTAACAAAATGGCATGGGGCCACTGAAAAGATAAATAAGAAACACATGGAATTTCTAATTTAATAAAAAAACAAAATCAGAATTAAAAAAAAATACATGTCTCAATTCTTATGAGACAAACCTTACAGTCATAAAAGTGTACAAGTACATAAAAGTGTAATATGAGCGTACTATAAAATATCATTATGTTAAAAAAACACAAGGGATCTGTAGAAATGGCTAGGCGGTTAGTGTAACACACACACACACACACACACACATTTAAAGCATTTAACAACCCACAAAAATATGTACCACTTTCTGGCTAGTTAAAAACTATTTTATCATTATAACTCTTCTCTAAGATTATTTCCAAAGAAAAAGCTTGAGTGGAGAGGAAAACTAGTGGTGGCCATTATCTTTTTTTTTGTGGTTTGGTTTGGTTTGGTTTGGTTTGGTTTGGTTTGGTTTGGTTTGGTTTGGTTTGGTTTGGTTTGGTTTTTCAAGACAGGGTTTCTCTGTGTAGTCCTGGCTGTCCTGGAACTCACTCTGTAGACCAGGCTGGCCTTGAACTCAGAAATCTACCTGCCTCTGCCTCCCAAGTGCTGGGATTAAAGGTGTGCGCCACCACTGCCTGGCTGCGGTTGCCATTATCTTATTGAAGTATAAATCCTTCTGCAGCAGTAGACTATTCAGCTAATCCAGTTCTCCTCCAGGCTTTATCTCCTGGAATCCCTTTTCTGGCGCTTGATGCTTTGGCCTAACCTCTACCTCAGCTATGTGTCTTGATCTCTTCTAGTCATCCTCATACTCATACTGTGACCCACTAGCCAGTGCTCCTGCCCTGCCCTCTATGGCTCCACCCAAGAATACACTCCATGTACATTCTCTGTATCTTCTGTTGAAAACAATCTACCTCCCCAGATTTCCCAAAACAGTTATTTGTTTCTCTATTAGCACCTTATGCTAACTAAGGTAACCTATGTGTATGTTCTGTCTCTGTAATAAAATATAAACACCTCAGGGATGGGGACCATATCCTTACAATTTTCATAATCTAAAGCACTGCCACTTCACATGGTAATAGCCTTATAAATTTTGCTGAATCAATACCCAAATGACTAAATAACAAACTCCAAGAATAACTTAATGTCATTATTTTTGTATATAATCAATAATCTGCAAATATATCCCACTTAACTTTTCAAGGTCATGCTAAAAAGTCTAAGT